CCAGATATTGCAAGGATCCGCAATTCTCATTATCACGTTAACACTTACACAAGAGTAGGTGTTTTGCTCTGACACAGTCAACGACTTCCCGAGCCTGGAAAAAGCCAAACCTTTTCACAGCAAGGCGATCCAAATCAAATTACACAGGTTTCAAGGCAAAAGCCTATTGAATATTTGTGCACTAGGTGGGTGCACTGTATAGGTATATCCATATCCCTAACTGGGTACTTTACCAAGAGGTCATTTATTAAGCTCCAGGAGCCTAATAGGAACAGAAGTAGACCATTCAGCCCCGGAGCCTGTTCTGCCATACCATTGGATCATGGCTGATCTGTCCCTCAACTCCAATTACCCTCCTTTGCTCCATACCCCTTGATATCCTTACCTAACAAATATCTATCGACCGGCATGAGGCATTAATTTGTGTTTCGTGCCTTTTTTAAAGAAGAAAAACAATACGGGGTATTTGCTCAACCAGCTCAGACTTTCTGCAACTGTAAAACATTAGGATCTGGACAAAAATAACTCGTGGGAAAAAAATATGTAAGTTTTTTAAAAAAAATCTTAATACTAAATAAAGAAAATGCTAACGACATATGACTTGCTAACGACTGCAAGTCAATCGGTGTCTGTGGGAGAAAATGAGTTGATGCTTCGTGCATAAACTTTGATAATAATACTTGCATTTGATTTAGCCCCTTATTATGTCATTGAGATGTCTCAAAACGCTTCATAGAATATACTGTAAAGTGAATTGACTGTATTTTGTGGGCAAGTCAATTGCTCACAGCAGTGTCCCACAGTCATCAGAGAAGAGAGGATTGGGGGGAAGCCCCTATACAGGATGTAGGAGGGGATATCGAGAAGATCACCACCAAATATGAAAGGTCCATTTGACCCATTAAGCCCACTCTTACCACACATGTGCAGCACCCAATGACTTCACCTCCTCACCCACTCTAATCTTCTGGGAAAAGGATGGTGTAGATAAATCCAGATCATTCAAGATAAGCAAGAACATACTCCAGAACATCCACCCAGCCCCAAGCCTCCAAGCTTCCTTACTTTCAAATGACATTTTGCCCTCTAGCCTCCAAATCCCTCTCCCCAAAGCCCAGCTGTACAGTAAATTATCGCTGTCCCAGAAGAATCTGCTAACGTAATCTCTACATTCTCCAGTCCTGTCCTCAAATTGATCCTTTTTTCCTGTTTTGATGGGAGTCAGTCACTATATTACTTGGCTACCGTTCATGTCAAGAACACAGCTCAAAGTGCTTCATAGGATTTACTCCAGTTTAGTGACCATCTTATAGGCAAACGTCGCAGCCAATTTGCACACAGTAATATTCTACAAACAGCCATGAAGCGAATGACCAATTTTATCGGGGGAAGGGGGGGAGTGGGGAGAAAGAGGGTTGTTGGCCAGGACACCAGGAGAAACTCCTTTCTCTTTTCGAATGGTGCCAATGGATCTTTCAATACCTACCTGGACAGACAGACGGGAGCTTGCTTTAACGTCTCATCCAGAGGTCGGCAGCTCCAACAATTCAGCACATCTCCCAGCACTGCATTGGAGTGTCAGCCTCGATTTTGGGCTCAAAGTCCCAAAGTGGGGCTCGAACCCACAACCTTCTGACTGAGAGGCCCCAAGTTCTACCAACTGAGCAAGGCTGACACCCTTATCCAAAGAAGATGCCCGCTATCCCCTGTACACTGTAAAATACGCTTGTCTGTCTTCAGTGAGCATTCGGTATCTCAGCAAACATAATAAGTGGATCTTGCTTGGTTTCAGATTGCAATTAGAATTCCCTAAACATGCTGGCTTAGCCATACCCAAACCAACAGTTAATTACATGGAACCATAGCAACCATGCAACAATCATGGAGATCTCGCACAAAGTAGTCATTAAAATATTGGCTCGACAACTTGCGTTATAGCCCTTTACGTTTTTTTTTTAAAAAAACACATCCAGCTTAAGCAGTACGTCTTGAGAAAATTCTCACACGCACAGTTCGTTCACAGTCTTCGGAATAGAGACTCACTGTCAAGCAACTAACTCTCCATGGAAACCTATCTGAATTGGCAGGTCCATTTGTGCAGCTGAGTCTTCCAATCGGGTTCACAGACTCCCCGCAGGGTACGGAAAAGGAAAAGGAAGCGTCAACTGAAGGTCAGAACATTTAAGCTTTCGGGGGGCGTGGTGTGGGGGGGGAGGGAGAAGGGGGGGAGGAAGAGAGAAAAGAGGAAAGGAATAAGCAAAAGGATTCTTGGGAGGAATGGGGGGTGCGTGTCTGTGCTGAACAGTGCGGGTCAGCCCTGAATGCGAAGGTCAAGACAGAAAACAAGATGGATCAAGCAGTGGGCAGGTGAATGCAAGCTCGGCATTCAAAAGGTTGGCTTGCAGGAGGATGTCAAGATTGAGGGTAGCAAGTCCTGTACAGCTCCCCGTCTCAGTATGTTTTCTTTTAAGAAAAAAAAGTAGAAGTTCCTATGAATTAACTGTTTTATTACTTTTCCTTATTTATACAATCAAATAAGGACAGAGCTGCAGCATTCCTGGCTTTAGGGCTATCGTTACCTTTCACCCTCCACTCCCCCCACCAGCAGCAGAGTTAACCGCTTTGAGGAATCCTCCCGACATGTAATGAGTTATAGAGACGAAAATAGTATTGCATCATCACTCCAGGGATTAATGTATTACCACAAACACAATGTAGTTTGTGGGAAAACACAGCTTTGTTTGTCTTTGGCCCCAATTGTTTCATTTATCACCCCCCAAAAATTGCAAAGCTTTTGCTCTGTTTAGCAACTTAATTGAAAGTTGAAAGGTGAAGGAAGCTACAAATTCAACACAGTTCTCGTGAGGTGGGTCACTGTCCTTAACCATGTCCAATTCTCTTCAAAACGAATTCTGCGAACAATAATTGATCCCAATTAACAATTAACAATTAAGCATTTCATATTAGCGCCTTATCGCATCATCAAGACGTCTCAAAAAGCTTCGCAGAATGTACTGTACAGTGAATGGACTCTATATCTTGTGGGAGAAACACGGCAGCCAATCGCGCGCAGCATTAAGGCAATTATTACCGGAAAATATTTGGCACTACAATTGAGGCTTTTGTTCCTTTCGATCCCGGGGCACGGCTCAAAACTTTTCCCGGTGTCCCAGCCAATAATTCCCCCAGGTAGAATCAAGTCATTCGCTTAATAGCCGTGTGGGGGTCATTGCTGTGTGGAGACTGGCTGCTAGGTTTGCCCGCAAATACAGTGACCCAGCTTTCCAGTAAATCCTGGGAGGCGCAGTGAGATGTTTCGATGGCACGATAAGACGCTGCGTCAAACGTGACGGCTGAGCCATGGCTCAGTCGTTCCAGCCGCCCACACAGAGGCCGGAGAAATGTAGACGGTGCCGACCAAAGCTGCAGCTTAGAAGCTCCGGGAAATTCCAGTTCCGCTATTTTAACACAACTCCGACTCCCTTCAGGAGTCGCCGGTGAAATCGAACGTTGCCTTGGTAACCGTTTGGCCATCCACGCAGCTGGATCTTACGCCGGTTTTGAAACTGAAGCTAAACAAACCTCCGCGGTTTGAAAAGCAAATTCAAAAAAAAAAAAAAAAAAAAAAAAAAATCGGCCGAACGAACACGGTACAACGTTCCGCTCTGCGAGCCGGTACCCTGGAAGAAATGCAGTGCAGCCCCCACCCCCCCCGTAGGAACGTGCCTCGTTAAAGAGCGTGAATCGGATACAACGTGGATCCCATTCACGGTTAGTGCGCACAGCTGGCTCGCTGCCCGACACGCTGGCTGGCTTCTGCATTAAATGGCTGCATTTCCGAGTCGTTAGGTTACTACCCAGGTCACTCCCTGCTCTCCCTATGTCTTTACGGAGAAGGAAGTGACATCGAAAAATGACCTGAAAATAATAATAACAACAACGATAATCCTTGCATTTGACATCGCGCTTTACACGTTCTTCCAGACGTCTCAAAGCGCTTCACAGAAGAGGAAGTGGAAAGTGAATCGACTGTATATTTTGTGGGCGAAACGCGGAAGCCCGATTGAAATTTTTTTTTGAATTTGAATTGAATTTAAAATTCATATCAGCCATTGGGTTTCCCAGGCTTAAAACGCCAACTACTGGGTCATTGCCATCAACAATAACAATCGCAACTTACATTTATATAGCATCCCTCATGCAGGGTCGTGTCTCAGGGCACTTGAATCACTTTCCTGCTTGCAAATACACAGAAAACAGGAAGCGACAATGCCAATGACTCGATGACCCAGAAGTCAGACATTTTTTCTTCTTTTTAGCTATAAGCACCAGCCGATGCTCAGTCAGACTCTCATACAACAACTGCGTGGGAGCGAGCATCATCATAGCGAGGGAGCAAACTCGCCTCCTCCTACCCTGTGGTTTGTGTGATCCCTATTAGAGTTTTAAAGTCCCAACCTCAAAGCATTCACCACCAGTGTGACTTCCCACCCCCATTTTCCACACCAGCTGCCGCATGGTTTTAACTAGAAATGGACTTGACAGTTCGATAACGCAGCTCGCACTAACGTTTTGGGCAGCTCTGCGTGACAGAGAGCAGTGACCACCAGCAACTGGCTGGAGTCTGTTCAACTTCATCAACAACAACTTACATTTATATAACGCCTTTCACGTCGGGAGGACGTACAAGCCTGCAGTCATTTCACATCCAAGCTTTGCAACCAAACAGAACGCTTGCATCTCATCTGCCCACGCCACACAATTGGGGTTCCCACCTCTGGCACTGCCACACCAACTTGTCCCAATAAGGTAAAGGTATACTGTGGCCACCCAGTGTCATACCAAACCTCTGTAAAGTGACCCTGGCATCAACCAGATCAAATCAAGGCTCCTTTAAGCATTTGGAGATTTTTCTTAAATAAATATATAAACAGTCACACCAAAGTCAATCAAATTAGATGTTGTACTGAGAATCAATTAGTGCTGTAAAGGGTTAGTACCTGTAATCTGTAAATGCCATCCACTTGTTGACTGAGGCAAACCTGGTCTCCATCTGCAAAGGGGAAAGTAAATAAATATTAGTAAGACGGAATTAAAAAAACAAAACACTATAATAATTCTTGCATTTGATAAATGCTCAAAGGCTTAAGGAGTTACCAGTTCCCGTTTAGACTAAGATGCACAGACTTGTCAAATGAATGCATACCAATTTCACCCACATATTGATTTACTCTTAACCCGGTCCACAAAAAAACACCAAAAAAATAGATTTTTTTTCAACCAAATGTAGAAAAAAAAACACCCGACATCTAATTGCCTATTTTAAGACCAAATAAGTACGCCTGGAAATACAAGCAAACACATCATTTATTTTGATTCACACACAAAAAAACACTCCACTCCCATCGCAACGGTGGCAAGTGAATTTCTTTCCTGAAAGTATGAGGCGAGGTTTGGCAAGAGCCGAGGCTTGGGGCAAAAGGGGCAGGGAAATGGGGCCGAAAGGATTTGCGGTTGACAGTAGGAGTCATCAACTTTGATAACTCCTAAAAACGCACACAAGGGGTTGACACCTTATCGGGTTTCATGAACAAGAACTAAACAGGGTCCGTTGCCCCATCTGCTGGATCCATGCAGAAAGTCTTTCTGTCCCAACCAAGGTGACGCAGTGCATTGTGCAAACACAGCTCTGGGTTTAGGAGGACACCTACTGGAACGATTTAGAGTTGACCGCACGGATCGGAGGGAGGCACAATCTCTCCCGATAGGTCGGCCTGCGCGAGGGACCTCGGGTCAACGTCTCATAGAAACAGGAGGAGGCCATTCAGCCCCTCGAGCCTGTTCCGCCATTCTATCAGATCATGGCTGGATCTGTGCCTCAACTCCAATTACCCGCCCTTGCCCCGTATCCCTCGATCCCCTGAGCTGACAAGTATCTATCGAGCAGAGTCTCACCCTGCGCGCAGCAGGGTGCCACAAACAGTTGTGGATTGAGTGACCGCATTTTTTTTTCTTTGGAGGGATTGTTACCCCCTGTAAAGCTATCCATCACTCGACTAACAACCAGGTTCCTACTAACTGCTAGGTAAACAGAGGCGTGTGCAGGAAAGAAACTTGCTTAAGGTGTTGCCCCACCCCGAAGCCAAACCCACAGTTGGCTAATGGAATCCCCCCAAAAATCGCAGATTTCCAAGGTCCGACCCCTCGAATTTATCTGCAAATTTATGGTAAACAGGAGTGAGGCCTACCAAGATCAAGCTGCCACCAAGGTCAACCAAAGTTTACTGTGCAAACATGTAAACAGCTCCTCCGAAAATAAAATACACGCTCTTCATTTTCAAGTGAACAGCAGTCACTTGTTTACGCATTCAACAGGACTTAAAACCACAGAAATGTAGAGCGCAGAAGGTGGCCATTTGGCCCATCTTGTCTGTGCCGGCTCTCTCATTGGAAATCCTTTCAGTCCCAGTTACATAGCCCTTTCCCCCCAAATCCTTGGCTCTTGCCAACCTGTGCCTAATACTTTCTGGAATTAGGGAAGCAGATTGCATCCCTCCAGGGAGAGAGAGAGAGAGAGTCAATCCATTCCAACAGCCTCTCTCGGGGATTTCCATGCCTGGGTGGGTTGCGTGGGATTCTCAGCTTGGTTTGGAGACTCTTGAAGCCCGGTGATGGGTTTCCGCGGGTGTCGAGACGCCCGGCTGACCCCCCAAAAGTAGAAAAATGACCCAGCAGTAAGTAGGAACCCAGTTGTTGGTCGAATGGCGGATCACTTTCCGGGGGTAATAATCTATTCAAAATAAAATTGCGTCACTCAATCCACGACAGTTTGTGGGACACTGCTGTGCGCAATTGGATTCATCCTCGACCAACCCTTCCAGCAGAGGATTCCATATCTGTGTTGGTAAAAAAATTCCTGACCTCCCCATTTGCTAATTGACTTACTATCTTAAATTGATGCCCTCGTGTCACAGACTCAAGCCTCTTTGGTGACCATGTACTGGTTCAATCGCCCAGCACACTGATTTCCTCTGAGCTGCATCCCTGTGGTGGGGGGGAGCTAAACCGAAGCCAGGTGTTTCCTCAAGAGGGAGAGATGGGTGGGATGGGGGGGAAAGACACTAAGAGTTTCCTGGGGAGATTTCTACTCAGAAATCAGTTGAAGAGGTGACTGGGTTCTTCAGATGCACTCAGTGCATAATTCAAGGAGACAAACTGAGGTAATGAATTAATCTGCTAAATTGCGCCCACAAAGTACACAGTCATTCCACTTTACAATATATTACATGAAGCACTTTGAGATGTCTCAATGACGTGATAAGGCACTATATTAAATGCAAGCATTATTATTATGGTTATTAATCCTTATCATCAGCTACGATACCCCAACTTCTGGAACCTCCGTCCAAAAAGTTGCCCACTGTAGTACATTCTGCAATATTAACTGCAAATACTTGCAACGTTTAATCTCATCTGCTCTTTTAACTACTAAGGAACGCGAGGAGCCAACTTCCAAGCAAAAAATAACAACAATCTCCCCTTTAACCCTGTATTACTTCATACAATACAGAGGTATTTGTGTCCCCTCAGAAACTCACTGAAAGGAGCATTTGCATCAGCTCAATGAAATTGAAGGTCCTGGCCATTTTAGTATCCCGAGCCGCTTAACAACATCCTCCTCCAACCCGATAAAATTGGCAAATTGGCTGCTGAGGTTTCCCCACAAAAAACACTCGGTAATTACCCTTTACAGTAAATCCTGTGAAGAGCTTTGGGATGTCCTTCAGACAAGGATTCTTAGCGTTGGTATAACAATACTGGCTTGGCCTCTAAGCTTGAGTGGGGAGCCGAGGGAGAGGGCTGTGCGGAACGACAACAACAACTCGCATTTATATAGCGCTTTTTACGTTGGGAGGACGTCCCAAAGTGCTTCACGGGATTTACTGTGAAGTGTAGGTACTGGCAATTAATGATCACCGCGGAGGGGAAAGATGATCGAAAGCGCAATGAACGAGGTAGGCCTCGAGACGACAATGAATACTAAAACATACTCCTGGAGACGGGTGAACGGGTGATGAAGAACATTATCATCATCATCACTCCACTCCCCCCACCTCACCCCCACATAGTTTTACATCTTACAATCCCGAAAAGTGGAAAAGAAAAGCCGACTTACCAATAAGCTGCAGTGGCAACACAATCGTTCCCACAGTAGTTTAAAGTTGCCTTAAAAAAAACTCCCTTCGCTCGCTTATGAAACAACCTTCGCCCCATTAACATTCATCTTGTTGCACACACACACACACACACGCGCATGCACACATACACACACACACACACAAAGAAACACTGACCCCAAAAATCAAGTACTCGTTTCAAACAAAAAAAATTATATATATATACAAAAAAAACACACAATGAAAGCTATTTCTTGCGATTGGGTATCGCGTCCCCTTCTCTTTTCGCTTTTTCCCCCGCACGAAGGAAGAGCGATCACCTTCATACGCCTTTGACATTAAACGTGTCAGCTTTTGGCAGCAGTACTCCCTCCTCTACTTTTCTAATGACGCAGGCACAGAATTAAAAACCTTCTCATCCTGATCCAATGCCAGCCCTGGTGCTTCACATCTGCTGGCGCACATTAGCTTTGCTCTTGTTGTTGAAACTTGCGCTCTTTCACCAATTTTTCCCTGCCTGCTTGCCTCCCCGCTCCTCCCCTCCCCACCGCCTCCCCCTTCTCCTCCACCAACCACTCCCTATCCCAGTCAAAGACTGTTTGTGTCACTTTGCGCTCATCTCTAACCCCTCCTAACTTTATCCTTGAGATTATGATCCAAAAGCAAACCGGTTAGCAGCTGCCTGGATTACCCGGCGTCCAATTTCCGACTGTCAATCTTAAACCGCAAAAGCCCCCGTTTGCTCTCTCTACCCACTCAGGCAGCCGACCGCGATTACCTGACGTCGCGCTCTCTGGCTGACCAGTGGTAAATTTCTCGCATGTTATGTAAGAAGTTGCCCGTTATCTGAACGACACCTACATCAGCCGGTGAAATGCCGTCGCGTTTGTAGTCCATAATCGCTCGGGGCGGTAAAGGGAATTCTGGTGGTGTTTCGCCATTCACGGCTGGCGCCGTTTTTTTGCGTTGTTGATAAAACGGGAAGACTTTATGAGGCGATAATAATGATCCTTGCTTTCGATTTGGGGTCTGATCCGAGTCGTTGATACGTCTCAAAGGGCTTCACAGAATAATACACTGCAAAGTGGATTGACCGCATTTAGTAAAACAAGAGACTGTTGGCAAAGATCACTGGCATCTTGGAAAGGTGATCCAGCTGTATAAAGGGCTTTGAAATGTCCTCTTGACATAAAAGGTACTGTATACACACACACACAAACGTAAATATTACTGCAATGTATCTACGTGTTCAGTGTCTCACTGGGATACCAAGGAAATGCAGACCAAAGCAATGCTGCTCTTATGGTCCATCGTATTTGAACAGGTTTATGTTTGAGGGATTATTACCCACGGAAAGCAATCCATAACAACCGGGATGTTGGCGGAAACTTGAAGGAAACTTGCTTAAGGTATCGCCCGGCCCCGGAATCGAACCCGTGCTCTCACCATTACGCTACACAAAATATACAGCCCATTCACTTTACGATATATGGCGTGAAGCACATTGAGACGTCTCAACGGCGTGATAAAGCACCACATCGAAAGCAAGGATTATTATTATTACTAACAGGTTAAAAAGTTTACACAAATATTACGAATTGTCAGTTCTTCTTTTGCTTAAAAGTCTTTTTTTTAAAAAAAAGAAAATTATTTTAACGTGCCCCAATTCTTCCTTGCGTTTTTATTTTGTTTTTTTTAAATTAAATCCTAATTTTCCACACTTCGAACATGAGACCGGGTTTTAAATACACCTGGAGACCTTCACCTTCGTACCGCAAGTTAGCCTTGAAAATCTTGTGCCTGATCCAAGTATGTGTGTTCAGCCAACTGAGGTTAGAGTGTGGCTTGATCTCGTTCCAAAACCCATCCCGCTCAG